AAAGCTACGTCACACGTAGGCTCACTATTGGCCGACGCTGGTCATGTGTGTGTGATGCGTGTGACGTACAATAACAGAAGCTTACGCTATTAAACTAGTAACCTGACTCGAGGCAGAGAGAGAAATAAACAAATTGTTGAAATAAAGTCGTTATTTTTGTTGCTTTTTGCGCACAAAAGTGTTCTCGTCGTTTGATAAACTTAAGATTGAGCCCCTGTAGTCACTTGGATTATTTTAACGATGTCCTTTAATGACTTTTCGAGGCCATCAAGTGTCATTCCCTCAAGAAGCCTATGGACTAGTATGCAGGAGCGATCTTAATATCTTAAATATCTTAATTTGTGTTCCGAAGATGAACGAAGGTCTTACTGGGTTGGAACAACATGAGGGTGAGTAAATACTGACAGAATTTTCATTTTTGGGTGAACTAACCCTTTAATCTCCAACTCCAACATGATCCGCTCTCTTTCAGTCGCTATTGCTTGTAGTAACCTAGCCGCGAGGAATCTAAACACAGTGGAACATTGAAACCCTTTGCCGCCAACTAGCGTTTCGGAGCAGTACTGCAGAGCAACCAAGACCTGAACGCAGAAGTATAAATGCTCACAACGGCATCGCCTACGTGCGTAGCCAACGGTGTACACTACGGCGTACCCGACACAGAAATTTACATTGGCCTTCACGGTAATGGTGTTCCCTAGGGCTGCCACTTTTGTGAAAAAATGCTGTTCGATTTTTGACACAAAAGTAAAATCGATTTTCCATGTCTAAAGACGGTTCCATTTTCAACACCAAATATAGGCAAATCCACGGACACTAAACAGGCATTAGGACGGGCGTAAAGAGGGCGCTTGAGTCAGCAATATTCCTGATGATTTATTGGCGTAAATTTCAACATGGACAAACAGGAACACAACATTCACGGATTGAAATTAATGACCTAGAACTTAAAATGAACTTTGGCGGAAAACGCTGTCAAATCACAAGCCAATCCGGTGTGTTTCTATAGCCCCTTTCACACAGAGATTCCGTAAAATACATGGATAGTAGGACCCGGCATTTGTCTCGGGATTGTTTGATTTTGGTTAATTCACACTGCCAGTGATTCGCCGGGATCTGTGAGTGTGTTCACACACAACCCGTAAAGATCCCGGAAAGACACATGACGTCAGGATGTGACGTGTAAGGTACGCGTAGAAAACAAGTACGAGTGCATACCGTTCCACAAAGCTGGTGAACGATCTCGGCTTTCTTCTAAGAGCAACAGAGTCGCGCGATGGCACGAGCGTCATCACTATGACACACCCCTTACGGCATTGGTCGTGGCTTTTGTTCACACACCGCGCGTTCCGGGACTGATTCCGGCAATGTTACTAGGTCCCCAACCGGCATCGATGCCGGTATCAATCCCGGGTCGTGTTTGCATTCACACAGAAGGCGTTCTGGCAATTTCCCAGAATCAACGCGCAGTGTGAAAGGGGCTTATGTTTACTCACTTTGCCGGGGAAGTTCGTGTAAGCCAAATCTGTGCGGAATTAGCACAAATTATTTGACATTTTATTAAAGAGGAATAGCCCCTTGAGATGAGCCATCTCGTTTTCGAGGGGGTCCTCGATTCTAGATTCAAATAAAAAAACTGACCTTACAACAGCTTGAATTTAACATAACAAATAGCAAAAGCCAAAAAACAAAAAACAAAAACAAATACACAAGAAAAAAAAAAAAAAAAAAAAGCTATGAAAAAATTATAAATTTTTTTTTTTTAAATTATACGCAATTCGCAAATCCTCATGATATATTACATACAGCGTTTTGCAGAATCTGCGCATTTCTGGCTTATTCGAACACACACGTCAACACACAACAAGTAACGGCGCACTTGTTCACTTGCATTGAAGTAATAGCGAATATTAAAAAGCATTTGGTGAACAGAAAAGACTTTGTTATTTTCCAACTGTCCAACTAAAACACATTTTTGATGTAAAAAAACGCAGTTAAAATCGATTCCCTATTTTAGTTTTCGAAACTTGTGTTGGTTGGTCCGATCGATTGTGCAATCGAGTTTCGAACGTAAAGCGACAGCGCCCCCTTCACATGTAAAGTGATTTGACTGTTGAGAAAAGCGCTATATAGATGTAATAACTTATTTTAATATTTTTTATTACTATTAATATTAATGGTTTAAATGTCAACCAGTAGAGATTTTGGCCAACCATCTCCATTGCGGTTTCACACACTCATTTGCATGCTTATAATTTGCATGGGATCTTAAAGGTTGTATCAGCAATTTCAGGCCCAAACAAAAATGATCACGTTCATCTAATCTTTCCTAGCGATCCGCTAGCTGCTCGTCCCATAAGCAGGCTGTCTCTGTAGGCAGCCTAGGCTCTGAGATCTGCACAAAAACAACCACCACTCAATATAAACAGTGTTCAAACCAATCGCCAACAGAGGGGGGTGTTGTTTGTTTTTACGCTCGTTCACGGCGCCAGAGACTATTTTTATGGAGACATGCCACTTCCTCAATTCTTAATACAACTATATAGGGAAAACCCGTAACACCAAAGATGACCCTCCCGCTGGAAAGCCAATCGTCTGCTTTTAACAGTCAAGCTGGGAAACATGTAAGCCTATCGTCTGGTTCCACGGACGCATGCGCACAGTTAAGGTTAGCGACAGTGGAAAATATGTTACTGTTTGAAAAGGCGGCAGATTTACGTGTTAGTTGCGTAAATATCAGACATCGCAATTCTCCTGGAAGTTCCGGGAGTCTCCCGAATGTTGATAGCGGCTCCTTGACGACCACGAATTAGTTCAAATCTCCCGCGAGTGAGCGAGTACACGATAGACACATAACAACATTTGTAGCCATAACATTGTAACGTTACTATTAGCAATAACACTAGCCTACGTTCAGGACTAACGTTAGCAGAATAATAATAATAAGCTGTTATAATATTATTCCAGATAGCTGTTGTTACCATGAGTTTTCCCAATAATCTTAAGATATGTAGCTATATGACTGATTCTGGTACGTTTAACGAGCGAGCTAACTTGGTTTGTTTGGGATCTCGCTTAGACCACAAATTGAAGTGATGTTACCCACAATCGCTGATACAATCTAAAAGCATTGGAAAATCATAAAAAGCATTTAAAAACAAGTGATTTTGAACCCTTGACACTCAATAAGCAGCAAAAAACTAACTGTCTCCGCTATATAAGCTAGCGATGGTTTCTGAGCGACGCTCGCGCATAAAGAGTGTGTGAGAACTGAACTGAGGGCTTTTTGCCGCCTAATGGTGCGTTCACACCGGATGTGAATAGCGCGTCAGGCGCGAATGATTTCAATGTTAAGTAAATGCAAAGACGCGTTACGTGCGTAAAAATTCCTGCGGCGCGAATGAGCCGTGGAGTGCGGTGCGGAAGACGAGAATACGCCTCGTTCGCGCGAATGGCGCGAATTGAGCGTCTGGCATGTAAAGCGCGAATGATTTAGTTAGTGCCATTTGTGCATTCACGAGTTTGACGCGAATTCGCGTCTGCCGCCCGAGTTGAAAAATCTGAACTTTGGCGTGAATTCGCACCGCGTTAACCAATCAGGAGCCTAGCTGCTTGCTCACGTGGTGAAGTATCTGGATGCTTCAATAAATTATTTTGTAATACGACTAAATGCGTGGTGGGATTATGCACAACAAAGCAAATATTTTATCACTTAAAACATTATTTCAATATCCGAGACATGTTCATTTTGTATTGAATGTTATTCATTTCATATCTAGATTATAGACTAATCCGACGAGCGTTCTGTGTAGGCTGCCATCTTGTGGCGACGCCATTACTGAGCTGTTACACAGGCATATAGACATATGCATCGGTATGTAAACAAACCTCTGTGATAACGCGAACTCGCCCTCGATGACAGCTACAGACAGGCAGAATGACTTGTTGGGTTGATGATGTTAGACAGTGGCCTCCAGTCACAGATGAAGGTACAAACGATCTTACAGATTAACGTTATTTATGAAAATAGCTTGGCAAGCTAGCTAGGCTAACGTTTGCTAACGAGGAAACTATAAAAAGATCTGTCCATTTGGCAACAATAAATAAATAAATGAATGAAATCAAATAAACAAATTCATGTTTTTCATTTGTGTCCATTATTTATCTCATTTTCACATTGCAACGGGCAAGGGTAAGGTAACGTTACAGCTAGAAAGTATACATAATATCGACCAATTAGTGTTTTTAAACCATGGAAAGAGGTCAATATAACAGCAGGAGAACAATTATGTCACATAACGTTACATTCAGCTCAGGAAAGCCATTTAATGACCATAGCATGTTAATTGAATAGAAAAAATAGCAAGAGAGGAGATTTTGCTGATCACTATATCACATATTTATTATATTTTTTTTACTCATGTCATTAAATAATTGTTATTATACGCGAATGTCCGCGTCTTGTACTCGCCCAGGAAATCTGTGTAAACCGTACGGCACCAGACAGGGGCAGTCGACCCGGGGTATTCACAGTGTTTTCTCTTCAAAATTGAAATTTTACTGCCACCATTGAAACAATTTATAACGGAAACTGTTTACCCACTCGACATAATACAAGGGATAACGTTGTAACGTTAGTGACAGTCGTAAATCGCGGGCTGTTTATTCCAGTGGACGCAAGTTGCAACTAAAACAATAGGAGGCAATGGCGCAACGCTACCCAGCAACAGCTCAGTAATGGCGCCCGCTTACTTCCGGTAGTTTCGCAGGATTTGTCTATATGAAATAGTATTATGATGTAAAGACAATCAACATATATAAGTTCGTGTCTGGACGTGCGAGAGAAAAAAAATAAAAAAATAAATAAATAAATCACAGGACAGGTTAATAACTTTTGGAAGCTGGCTCTATTTATCATCAAAACAAAAATAAAGAGCAAAAATAAGCAGCCTAATATTCCTGTCATTAATGTTCATCAGACAATCAAAGAGAAAGACTTAAATCACTCACTGATTTTGACTGAATGACTTTAGTAACATTAATTAGAATACATGTATATTTAATGTGCACTGTGTAAATTGCGTATATAATTAACTACGTGTATTTTACATAAACTATACGTTTTTCAGATAGGCTAGTTTTATTGTGATATTGAGAATTATGAAATTTTAAATTATATCAAAAAAATGTAAATTATAAAAACCTTATTTAAAGCAAAACAACTATATTGTGACATATATATCGTAGTTTATAGTGAAATAAAATGACTAAGATTACGATTTTGGACATATCGCCCACCTCTAATGTGAACTGTGTGAAAGTGAGCGTGTTATTCTAGATCAAATTGACTACTTCTTAAAATAACAAATGGGAAACAATATAGCCTATTCATCAGCATTGAGGAAGCTACTTTGAAGTATTTTGAGCTATAAAAAGTCCCAGACAGAAACGTGGGGACTTTTTTTTTTGGTCGGTAGTACAAGTACAACAAGTTTAATGATGGCTCAAAGCATCATCAAGTTGTGTTTCAAATGTACAACGTAGCTAAAAAAAGGTCATGACCTTGCTAATGTTGAGGGAAAGGTGATCACACTTTATTTCCAGTGTCTTTAAATATGTTGTACTTCCATCGAAACACTACAGGTACGTGACGGTCTAGTTATTTTTTACAGCTATTTTGTGAAAATAAGTGCAATAAGTGTATTGCACCAAAATTATTCATTTAAATGTCATTATATAAATTATACACCTAATATAAAGTCTAAAGCTGTTAGAAAGAAAGCTCCATTTCTACCATAATGCCTTTTGAAGAGCAGACGAAGTACGATGCAACTTTCATAATAAACCATCTCGTACAGTAACGGCTCTATTAATAACCCTCTTCCGATCCGACAGTCAAAAGTCAAGCGTTTTGCGTCACCCGACAAATAAAAGTGAATTTCTCAGCCCAGGAAACTCAGTCCTAACCTTATCTCGAACCCTCATTGTTCATTTACATACCCTAACGGCATTGTGGCAAAGTGAACCCTTTAAAGTGTTTACGACTGCAAGGATCCACAAGGAAAGCAGCTGTTGTCCTCACCTCTCTGTGCTCCTCCTCGTCCTCGTTCCCTTGATTACTTGACGTCTCCTCAGAATAATAGATCTTATTGCTGGTCAGGACGAAGAAGTGAGGGTACCACTCCTGTGAGGGCGACACCAGCGCACATTCATCATGAGATCATCAAGCCAACAGATTCACCTGTCCCGTAAGAGCGGAGCGAGAGGAGCTCACGTGGTTGATGGGGTCCTCCAGGTACAGGATGCCGTTCTTGATGGAGTTGCTGATGTCGTTCTCCGAGTACGGCGTCGAAGACGAGACCTCCTCGTACGCGCTTCCCTCGGCTAATTTCTTGTGCTGAACACAGATGCAACAGTTGAGAAAGTGGCCAAAAACACAATGGTTTCCTGCCACAGGACCGATGAGCCTCACCTTGATGAGGATCTTCCTCTTGAGCTGATTGGGCGAGGGCAGGCCGTCCGCGGAGATGTCCACGGCTTTGATCAGGAGCATGTCTCCAAACACTTTCCTGAAGTGGGCGGCCATGTTTCTCTGCTGGACAATACTGCAGTGGTCCTCGATGGAGAGGATGATGGGATAGCTGCGTGCAAACACAAGCAATGCAATCTGATTATCGCACACCGCGCATTCTTGATGACCACATCTGATCACCACACGAGCGCAGACGTCATGTGACACTCACTCAGACGTGACGAAGGCGTGCTCTTTGATGGTGAGAAGCACCTCGTTGAACTTGATCTTGGTGGTGAGCGTGTGGCCGTGGTAGATGACAGGCATCCCATCAGGACCGTCCCAGCAGTCCACTGCAACACACACACATTATAACTGCTGCCAGAAACACAACAACATGCCACAATCATAAAGCTTGCTATAGTAGTCGAGTCACCTTTATTTACAGAGCACTTTACACAATCCATATTGTTTTAAAACAACTTTATGGACAATAATGATTCAAACAGAGTTCAGTCCTGCTGTAAAGTAGCTCTCAAACACAATACTAAACATTATTCAGTTGAAATAATGACTATAAGTCTAATCTTATAGTTGTAGTTATGATAAATATTTCTAGTTTACAAAAGCAATGTTCACTGCTTTAAAATAAGCAACAATGAAATACAATTTAATGTTATACAGTTTTACGTTAGTTTGACTTTATGGTAACACTTTACAATAAGGTTCATTAGTTAACATTAGTAAATGCATTAACTAACACGATGAGCAATGCATTAGTTACAGTGTTTATTAATCTTTGTTAATGTTAGTTAATACAAATACAGCTGTTCATTGTGCGTTCATGTTAGTTCACAGTCCATTAACTTATGTTAACTCATACAACCTTTGATTTTAATAATGTATTAGTAAATGTTGGAATTAATATTAACTAAGATAAATAAATGCTGAAGAAGTATTTTTCACATATTGTACATGTTAACTAATGTAGTTAACTAATGAACCTTATTGTAAAGTGTTACCCCCTTATTTTTATTAATTATGAATAAGGAACAAAAAAAATAAAAAAAAATAAACAAAGCAACCTAAAATAACATACAAATCCGTTCATTTTATGTTTATTTATTTATTTGTATCCCAGGGCACAGGAGGATGCTAAAACTGGAGTATAGTTAGTTATTTCAGTATGCTAGTCTCCTATGGTTATAGTTTTAAAAGAAGTAATAGTTCAGATTAGACTAATTTCAGTAAATAAATCAAAGAAAAAAATAAATAAAAGCAATTTAATTGTTATGGATTTCTGTGCTTTTTGTTTGTTTATCGCTATTGTGCGTGTCCAGTAAATCCAGAAAATGAAAATAAAAAAAATAAAATAAAAATCGGAACTTACCAACCAAAATAAAAAAAAAAAAACATTTCAGATTTGTTACTAACCTAGGACAATAAAATGGCAGAATATATATATATATATATATATATATATATTAGGGCTGTGCAAAAATGAATTGCGATTAATCGCATCCAAAATAAAAGTGTGTTTACATAATATATGTGGGTGCACTGTGTATAATTATTTTGTATATATAAATACACACACATGCATGTATATATTTAAGAAAATGTTTTATTCATATATAAAATATTGATATTTATATAATATAGATTATATATTCTTATATATATATATATATATATATATATATATATATAAAATTTAAGCGCAAATAATTCTTAAATATATACATGCATGCATAGGTATTTATATATACAAAATAATTATATAAGCACACATAAATATATTATGTAAACACAGACTTTTATTTTGGATGCGATTAATCGCAATTAATTTTTGCACAGCCCTAATATATATATATATATATATATATATATATATATATATATATATATATATATATATATATATATTTAATATTATATATATTTATTATTTACCAGTTCAATAATATAAATGCATGTATAGTGTCATACTGTTGTAGCCTACTAGTTTACAACTGGGAGAAAGTATTTATGATATATTCTTCAATGCAACCACTGCAAAACTGTATTTTCAGCATGTTCATTTCTGGAAAGGTAACATTTTAGAATGTATTTGTATATGAAGCGTTGATCATTGCTAATAATAGAGTTGCGCTGTGACTTACACTCGATGCATCTGCAGCCCATCCGCAGACAGCGGGCGTACGCCTCCAGAGACGACTCGCTGGAAAACTGGTCTCCTGTCAGATAGCTAAAAATACACACACACACACACACACACACACGTCAGACCTGTCTGCATTACTCCATACACACCTCACACGCCAGCATCAGCGACCCTTACGCTTAAACACTGCAGACAATGTACAAATACGTTCAAAAATTCTTTCCATTCTGTCAGTCTTTAAACCACATAATGGCTTTATAATCTAGCTATACCGGTTAAACACCATGAGAGAAACAAAGCGCAAACAGCTAAATACTAACATTGAAAATAAGTCCTGATTGACCCCGTCTGAAATATCAAATCATATAAATGATATAGTAATCTGTCCACTCGTCATCTGTCTTTTTTAGATTCAGCCGCTGATGTGAGACATGCGTTTCTATTCAAGGACAGGTTACTGACAGATACACAGTACACTTTCTCAGGTGACTTCTCTTTGTTAAAGTAAGCAGTATATACACACACATACACTGATAACTAGACTACCGTTTCGAATTTTAATTCTGTATAAAGTCACAATAACAAGAAAGTCACATTCACCTTTTTTTAATCTGAGGTGGAAAAGGGTTTCTACATTAATGTGATTTTCAACACATGAAATAAACTCTTAAGCGGTATCTGATTTGCTTATTGCAAAATCTCTCAAAAATCCTCTCAATAAAATAAAGATAAGCATAAAATAAGTGAAAATCTTGAATCATCCAATGATAATCTACTTTTAATAGGTCAATATTATGATAGATTAACTAGAACAACTATATTGGCTAAAATCACTTTTATGAGTCCTGTGGAAACCTCACTCGATAATGAAAGAGTTCAGAGCGCTAAGAGAAGAGATATTGTGTGTGTACAGTACATCTGATGTGGCGCATCTATTCAACATTTTACTGAGCCTTGTTCATCAGGGTTTCAAGTTCAAGTTGCGGTGTGTGTGCATGATTTTTATTCAGTCCTCTACTCCAGTGATCTCATCTAACAGGCACCCATCAATGAGGACCACACCATCCACAACCACCAAAACACTCCAGAAAAATAGTCCTTTTACACAAAAGCACAGAATTTTATATTCAGATTAAGCATAATGGTAATATTGTGACATCTAAGAGAAAGTTGTAATGTGCTAATTAACTAACCAACCAACTACCTAACTAACTAACCAACCACCCAACTAACCAACCACCCAACTAAACAACCACCCAACTAGCCAAACACCCAACTAGCCAAACACCTACCTAACTAACCAACAGAGAAATAAACAAACTAAAACTAACTAAACATCAAACCAACCAACTAACTCTTTCCCCATTTTGGTAATTTAGAGGGTGATTGAAACTATACTCTAACCAACCAACTGACCAAACCCTTTCCCATCATCTTACATTTTGGCTAATCAACCAACAAATCCTTACCGTATCATCTAACATTTTGTTTCTAACAACTAACCATCTATTATTATACCATTATCTAATTTTTTGATTCTTTGATGGAGAATCACACTACCCAACTAACTATTAGATGATGGGGGAAGGTTTGGTAGGTTAGTTACTAAGTTGTTGTTAGAAACAAAAATGTTAGATGATGGAAAAAGGGTTGATGGAAAAAGTTATTAATCAACCCTTTTCCCATCATTTAACATTTTGTAACTAACTAACTAACTAACTAACTAACTAACTAACTAACTAACTAACTAACTAACTAACCAACTTCAGGAGCAGGCCAGGACACCCCTGATCTAACAGGGTGTTTTGGTTCATCGAAGGGGATTCATTTTATGCACCAACTAAACAACCAACCAACCCTTTTACCATCATCTAACATTTTGTAACTAACCAACTAACTTACTAACTAACCAACTTCAGGAGCAGGCCAGGACACCCCTGATCTAACAGGGTGTTTTGGTTCATCGAAGGGGATTCATTTTATGCACCAACTAAACAACCAACCAACCCTTTTACCATCATCTAACATTTTGTAACTAACCAACTAACTTACTAACCAACCAACTCCAGGAGCAGGCCAGGACACCCCTGATCTAACAGGGTGTTTTGGTTCATCGAAGGGGATTCATTTTATGCACCAACTAAACAACCAACCAACCCTTTTACCATCATCTAACATTTTGTAACTAACCAACTAACTTACTAACTAACCAACTCCAGGAGCAGGCCAGGACACCCCTGATCTAACAGGGTGTTTTGGTTCATTGAAGCGGATTCATTTTATGCACCAACTAAACAACCAACCAACCCTTTCCCCATCATCTAATTTTTTGATTCTATGATGGACAATCAAACTACCCAAATAACTAGTAGATGATAGTTATCATCTAGGGGAAGGTTTGGTTGGTTAGTTACTTAGTTGTTAGAAACAAAATGTTAGATGATGGAAAAAGGGTTGATGGAAAAAATAACTAACCAACCAACCCGCTTTTCCCATCATCTAATATTTTGTAACTAACTAACTAACTAACTACTAACCAGCCAGCCAGCTAACTAACTAATTAACTAACTAACTACCTAACTAACTCCAGGAGCAGGCCAGGACAACTCTGATCTAACAGGGTGTTTTGGTTCATTGAAGCGCAGGGCTCGAGACTAACGGTGTCCTATCGTCCTGGGGAAAATGTGTTTAGGACGAACAGAAATATTCTCCAGGACGCAAGACATTTTGTATATATAAAATACAAACATTGTGTGTTCGGCGCTACACATAATTCTAATCATTCCCGCAGGTCTCCGCAATCGTAATCCACACAGATTATAAAATCAAATCATTCTTTTAATAACTATCTTCTAGAGCCCGACCGATAAAGGATTTTGAAGACCGATACCGATACAAATATTTTTCGGTTTTAAAATCCGATATTCCGATATATCGGCCGATTTTTTTATTTTTTATTTTTTATTAAATATTGTTGGATTTCACACACGTGTAAAAGAAAAGCTAACTTTTCTGCACAAGATACGTTTGATACTTTTTGTCTAAATGTTCACTCCTCGCAAGTCTAACTTACATTTTACAATGCAGGGACTGTAACTAGAGATATGCTAGTTATAAATACGGTAATAATTACTTTATTTAGGCAGAAAAAGTTCATTGTGGTTTCCAAGCTCATTAATGTTAACATTAGCGGTCTTCCACTGATTATAGTGGCATTAGCCTGCTTAGTGGTTAGCTAGTCTATGATGAGCCATAATTTAGCAATAGATAACATCATACTGCAAATTGTAAAACATACATTTTCAATATAACAGGCCAAGGAGAGATGATTAAAACGTGTTTCATCCGTTTTTATTTTATTTTTTTAAATATTCATTTATCGGCCATTATAACTGCCGATACCGATATTATGGAAAATGCCTAATATCGGCCGATAATATCGGCAGGCCGATATATCGGTCTGGCTCTACTATCTTCCATACACAATTTCACAAACAGCGTGAATCTTCAGCGGTGCCGCGTCTTCCAACTCATCTCTCAAAATGTGTTGTGGAAGGCAAGCATCAAGCGCTGCTGCGATAATACACACTCGCGTTCAGGAGTCGGGACATGGCGGGATATTCACTTGCACAATCGGGCCAGCAGTGCATTGTGAATGAAGTTTACCCTTTGCACGTCTTTTTTAGGCTTACCAGCTTAAACATTCAAGCGATTTTAAACTAATCAGTGCTCACGCGCTCTCTGGGATGATTTTCTATATCCACATATTCATAGAAAATCCGCCTCAAGAACAGCGGGCCAGTAACAAAAGTTATTTTTCACGGATTATATTGCTTTAACACGCAAAACTGTGTCAATTTCGGTCTTCGTGAGTATAATAGTCTAAACATAGTCGGTTTTGTCTTTGATAAGCATAAAACGCATGCCAGTATAATGAACAGAGTATCCGTGCACTAGCTCTTAAAGAGACAGCAACCATATGTGTCGGTCATTAATTTTGTCGTCAAAACAACAAAAGAGAGCTTTAAGTTAAAGGAATCAGGATCAATAGGCAATCTAGTTAATTTATTCAGGACTAAAATACTATACAGTGTTATTTTTCCATTTGATTACTTTATTCAGTTTCTGTCTATACTAGTGTTAACTTTTCAAAAATTTTCTCTTTATTTGTATCTTTATTCTATTGTATTTATTCGTGCAACTTTTTTCAATTTAATTGAACAATTTAAATCAAGCTTCGTGTTGTGTAAATTCTTAACATTACCCCATTGTAAAAAATGCAATGAGCACAAACATTCAGGCAAGATAAATAATAATTTTGTTTGGCAAAAATTATGGTATATTTTAACGCCGCCTTCACACTGGTAGTTGAAATCAGCTCCGTAATACGCAATACGTTCCCAACGGATGTCGTACTACACAGTGAAAAGCGTCGGACGCGGGTAGAACAAAAATGGCGGAGAGATTAAAGTTTGATTCTGTCAGTTCTGTATGATCTCTCTGATTAGGGTTATGCTGCGTGAGGAAAGTTGCTCAGGACGTTGACATGTCAGGTCGGCTAAAAAAATGTGATATAGTGGTCAATAGTTCAATGTCTACCTTCAATTTATTGTATTAACTGCCCTTATAAACGTTAGAAAGTCATGAAAATAAAAAATGACATCACAACTTATCGTTATAAAATCAATATTTATTTTATTAAAAGTTAATAATTCAGGTTTGTTTATCAGTACCATAGCAACGCTCAACTTCCGCTGGAATTGTCGGATAGGAACCGTCCGTAGCTTTTCGCAAGAGTTCAAATTTTTGAACGTATCCGGACGACCAACGGACACGATTTTCTTCGCACCGCACTCGGTCGGACCCGTTTCGGATCCATTCGCATGCGGTCTGCGAATCTCCATAGGAAATGAATGACTTCCGGTCGTTTCGCAGCCGCATCGGAGCTGATTTCAACTGCCAGTGTGAAGGCGGCGTAAGTCACAGTAGTTAAATCTTTATCTGTATTGCATGTTCAAACTTTAAAATCATTCATATTAACTGCTTAATAGATTTTTTCTCTGGAAGTATTTAGGTGTGGAAATTTTAGATAAATACTAAATTTATGCATTACAGTTGAACTAAACCCACTATATTTTAGTCATCTGAATTGTTTTAGTTAACTAACAGCTATGGATGATAGTAACAAAGTACAGAAACAACATTTTTATTTTGGGACAGTTGACCTTTACTTTAGGACGGTTCAAATTGTTTTTCAGGATGAACGTGAAAAAAGTTTGGAGCCCTGTTGAAGCGGATTCATTTTATGCACCAACTAAACAACCAACCAACCCTTTCCCCATCATCTAACATTTTGGTTCTTTGAGTAGGATTATACAGTAACAAACTAACTATCTAACCAATGGATGAACTACAAAATAAAAATAGGAATGGACGTTATCTAGAGACCACTAGTTACTAGATACCCTTATAGAGAGAACATTAATAAACACACAGCCTCTTAAAAGTGTCAGTTTAATCAGAACTGTTCTCATACAGAAAATGTGCTTCACCTATACTCACGTGTTGTGGGACGAGGAGATCCAGTAGTGGGACAGGGGGTTGTTCATGTCCTCTGGTCGCACCTGATCGAGCTGCGAGTCCCAGATAGTGTTCTCTTTAGAGAACAGATACGTGAGGAACTGAGAACCACAAGACAAGTTAACGTCAGCATGCTGAAACTGAGTGAGAGCTCTGCACTGCTGATGTAGACCTGAACAACAAACTACACAACCGCTTTAGCGCTCCAGTTTTCATCAACGAGTACAAAATACAACAAGCGATTCTTATCAGTGAAAGGAACAGGACCAGGAAATGCACTTTCCTATTTTTATTTACTACAAAAAGATGCTGAATTTATGTTTTACTTTGTAAACACCTTTATGATGCGTGTATAAAATAGCTACTCCAATTATTTACTATTTATTTATTTTTATTAGGGCTGTGCAAAAGTTAATTGCGATTAATCGCATCCAAAATAAAAGTCTGTGTTTACATAATATATTTGTGTGTACTATATATAATTATTTTGTATATATAAATACCTATGCATGCATGTATATATTTAAGAATTATTTGCGCTTAAACTCTGTTTATATATATAAATATATAATCTATATTATATAAATATAAATATTTTATATATGAATAACACATTTTCTTAAATATATACATGCATGTGTGTGTATTTATATATACAAAATAATTATATACAGCACACACAAATATATAATGTTAACACAGACTTTTATTTTGGATGCGATTAATCGCAATTAATTTTTGCACAGCCCTAATTTTTATAAACATTTTCTTTCAATATTGGCTATATGCAAAGATTATAAATCACGTTATGAAATAATTCTTTAAACAAGATGACAACTTTTCAGGAAAGTTTATTACAAATAGAACAGGAAATTCATTAGCAACAAACTAAGCAAAGAAGAGGCGGATTAACATATCAAACAAGCAAATCTGAGGTCACATGATACTGCAGCGAAGCAGGAAGTGGTTATGTGGGTAAAGTGTGCGATTGCAACGCCACTGGTATGGGTTTGATTCCCTGGGAACGCACATGCTGAGTAAACGCACCTGTCACTTTGCAAAGAATGCGTTTGCCAGATTCATAAATGTCAATGTAAATGTCACCTCGTCTTGATGAAAGTACGGTTGCTCGATCTCCCGCAGAGGATCCTTCAGGTAGTGGAACATGAACTCCTGCACCTTGTTATTGTCTGTGGCCCAAAGCTCCTGAGGACACAAACACACACATTTATATGGAACGGTTATTACAAAACATCTTTAGTACAGATTCTCTTCCCTCAAAAACACACAAATATACATCCAATTAATGTGTAGATGCTGTGACGACTTGTTTGGTTCGAGCGATACATGAATAAACACATATCTAACCTTCTGATGTTCAATTAGGAAGTTCTGGAAGTCCTCCAGTGAGATCTTCTGTTCCGGTCTCTCAATAAACCTGTCAGAAACACACAGTGTTACGGCCTCATGTCTGGAAACCCAACAGATGATCTAGGATGTCTGATAAGCATTTAAATGCATTATATAAACTGTGAGTGAGCACAGTGAGCTCACTATAAAAAGTGAGCATTTACTAATAGGTCTTTTTGTGCAAAATTAACTAACTAACTAACTCTTTCCCCATCTTACATTTTTGGTTATTTAGAGGGTCTTTCTCCATTTTAAGTTTTTGGTCTTTGAGGGAGAATCAAATTAAACACTACCCAACTAACTTACCAACCAACCTACCTGTTAAATTATCTGATAACAATTTAAGTTATATATTATATAAACAATAATAAATGAGCACTTACTAATAGGTCTTATTATGCACAATTCATATGTTTAATTCAACAATAACAACACTTAAAAAGGTCAATCAAATCCCAACAAATAAACTCTGCCCTATATTATTTATAACTGAATATTCTGTTTTACTTGTAAATATATATCATATTATGAAAGTTAAACGTGTTGTAAATGATCAGTCATGTCATTAATAAATTCTTTAGCTTAAAAACACGAGTGAATACCTTTGTAGCAGTGGAATCTCCATCTATACAGGAACAGAAGAAAAAGAGCTTGTTATGTGAATGATACAATAAATACCCGATCTTGTAACTGTAGCAATTTCAGCTCTGGTGCAGTAAAACACTGCGGTAAAACATCTGCAGCTCTACAGTAAAACACTGCGGTAAAACATCTGCAGCTCTACAGTAAAACACTGCGGTAAAACATCTGCAGCTCTACAGTAAAACACCGCAGTAAAACATCTGCAGCTCTACAGTAAAACACCGCAGTAAAACATCTGCAGCTCTACAGTAAAACCCCGCAGTAAAACATCTGCAGCTCTACAGTAAAACCCCGCAGTAAAACATCTGCAGCTCTACAGTAAAACACCGCAGTAAAACATCTGCAGCTCTACAGTAAAACACTGCGGTAAAACATCTGCAGCTCTACAGTAAAACCCCGCAGTAAAACATCTGCAGCTCTACAGTAAAACACCGCAGTAAAACATCTGCAGCTCTACAGTAAAACACTGCGGTAAAACATCTGCAGCTCTACAGTAAAACACTGCGGTAAAACATCTGCAGCTCTACAGTAAAACACTGCGGTAAAAACATCTGCAGCTCTACAGTAAAACACTGCAGTAAAACATCTGCAGCTCTACAGTAAAACACTGCGGTAAAAACATCTGCAGCTCTACAGTAAAACACTGCGGTAAATCATCTGCAGCTCTACAGTAAAACACTGCGGTAAAACATCTGCAGCTCTACAGTAAAACACTGCGGTAAAACATCTGCAGCTCTACAGTAAAACACTGCGGTAAAAACATCTGCAGCTCTACAGTAAAACACAGCGGTAAAACATCTGCAGCTCTACAGTAAAACCCCGCAGTAAAACATCTGCAGCTCTACAGTAAAACACTGCGGTAAAACATCTGCAGCTCTACAGTAAAACACTGCGGTAAAACATCTGCAGCTCTACAGTAAAACACCGCAGTAAAACATCTGCAGCTCTACAGTAAAACACTGCAGTAAAACATCTGCAGCTCTACAGTAAAACACTGCGGTAAAACATCTGCAGCTCTACAGTAAAACACTGCGGTAAAAACATCTGCAGCTCTACAGTAAAACACTGCGGTAAAAACATCTGCAGCTCTACAGTAAAACACTGCGGTAAAACATCTGCAGCTCTACAGTAAAACACTGCGGTAAAACATCTGCAGCTCTACAGTAAAACACCACGGTAAAACATCTGCAGCTCTACAGTAAAACACTGCGGTAAAACATCTGCAGCTCTACAGTAAAACACCGCAGTAAAACATCTGCAGCTCTACAGTAAAACCCCGCAGTAAAACATCTGCAGCTCTACAGTAAAACACTGCGGTAAAACATCTGCAGCTCTACAGTAAAACACCGCAGTAAAACATCTGCAGCTCTACAGTAAAACACTGCAGTAAAACATCTGCAGCTCTACAGTAAAACACTGCGGTAAAACATCTGCAGCTCTACAGTAAAACACTGCGGTAAAACATCTGCAGCTCTACAGTAAAACACCGCAGTAAAACATCTGCAGCTCTACAGTAAAACACTGCAGTAAAACATCTGCAGCTCTACAGTAAAACACTGCGGTAAAACATCTGCAGCTCTACAGTAAAACACCGCAGTAAAACATCTGCAGCTCTACAGTAAAACACCGCAGTAAAACATCTGCAGCTCTACAGTAAAACACTGCAGTAAAACATCTGCAGCTCTACAGTAAAACCCCGCAGTAAAACATCTGCAGCTCTACAGTAAAACACTGCGGTAAAACATCTGCAGCTCTACAGTAAAACACTGCGGTAAAACATCTGCAGCTCTACAGTAAAACACCGCAGTAAAACATCTGCAGCTCTACAGTAAAACACCGCAGTAAAACATCTGCAGCTCTACAGTAAAACACTGCGGTAAAACATCTGCAGCTCTACAGTAAAACACAGCGGTAAAACATCTGCAGCTCTACAGTAAAACACTGCGGTAAAACATCTGCAGCTCTACAGTAAAACACCGCAGTAAAACATCTGCAGCTCTACAGTAAAACACTGCAGTAAAACATCTGCAGCTCTACAGTAAAACACTGCGGTAAATCATCTGCAGCTCTACAGTAAAACACAGCGGTAAAACATCTGCAGCTCTACAGTAAAACACTGCGGTAAAACATCTGCAGCTCTACAGTAAAACACCGCAGTAAAACATCTGCAGCTCTACAGTAAAACACTGCAGTAAAACATCTGCAGCTCTACAGTAAAACACTGCGGTAAATCATCTGCAGCTCTACAGTAAAACGCCGCGGTAAAACATCTGCAGCTCTACAGTAAAACACCGCGGTAAAACATCTGCAGCTCTACAGTAAAACACTGCGGTAAATCATCTGCAGCTCTACAGTAAAACGCCGCGGTAAAACATCTGCAGCTCTACAGTAAAACGTCGCGGTAAATCATCTGCGGCTCTACAGTAAAACACCGCGGTAAAACATCTGCAGCTCTACAGTAAAACACCGCAGTAAAACATCTGCAGCTCTACAGTAAAACACCGCGGTAAAACATCTGCAGCTCTACAGTAAAACGACGCGGTAAATCATCTGCAGCTCTACAGTAAAACACCGCGGTAAAACATCTGCAGCTCTACAGTAAAACACCGCGGTAAAACATCTGCAGCTCTACAGTAAAACGTCGCGGTAAATCATCTGCAGCTCTACAGTAAAACGTCGCGGTAAATCATCTGCAGCTCTACAGTAAAACGTCGCGGTAAATCATCTGCAGCTCTACAGTAAAACGTCGCGGTAAATCATCTGCAGCTCTACAGTAAAACGTCGCGGTAAAACATCTGCAGCTCTACAGTAAAACGTTGCGGTAAATCATCTGCAGCTCTACAGTAAAACGCCGCGATAAAACATCTGCAGCTCTACAGTAAAACACTGCGGTAAAACATCTGCAGCTCTACAGTAAAACGTTGCGGTAAATCATCTGCAGCTCTACAGTAAAACACCGCGGTAAAACATCTGCAGCTCTACAGTAAAACGCCGCGGTAAATCATCTGCAGCTCTACAGTAAAACACAGCGGTAAATCATCTGCAGCTCTACAGTAAAACACAGCGGTAAAACATCTGCAGCTCTACAGTAAAACACCGCGGTAAATCATCTGCAGCTCTACAGTAAAACAACGCAGTAAATCATCTGCAGCTCTACATGTTCAGACCCGCCAGACCCTAATCAAATGATGAGAGAGCAAACATCTACTCAAGTGATTCAAGCTACACACACACACATCCCTCTGAGTGCAAGGGTCATCACTGCTGTGTGTGTGTGTGTGTGTGTGTGTGTGTGCGTGCGTGTGTGTGCGTGCATGTGTGTGTGCGTGCATGTGTGTGTGCGTGTGGCCTAATGGCTTTTAGCCGATAGATCTTGTGGCTTTTTAAAAGGGCCAGTATTGACGCGAAGGCCATTTGAGAAGCGGGGCAAACTGACGGGGCTTGAGCGGCTCTGAGGAGGGGTTCGCCTCCACCAACACACACACATTAACGTGAACTCACGGATTTCTGTGCATCAAACATCAGGCTGCGGTACAGCTGGGCGAAATGACAATACGACACATCTCCATTCCTCAGCTCTCCGTCCTAACCAAGAAACCACAGAAAACACAACCGATATTAATATTAATAAAACACAAATATGTCCTGTAATTACAAATGTGTTACCATGGAGTAAACAAATACACAATATCCACTGATGTTACTGCAGTTAACGGTGAAAGAATCAAACCACCAGCTATATACACACATTATACAATGAAAATCACCAATTAATTCTACACTAATATGAGAAGTGAGTGGAGTGAAGTTACCGGAAGCTTCTCCCGTAAGAACCTCATATTGGGAACCCTGTAGTTGACCTGACACAGCATACTCTTCAGATCCTTGCAGGAAATCCTGCCGGAGAACACACAGAGTTTGGGAATGTGGGTCTGAACGGGCTTCACATGAGAACGCTCAGTGTCGATTCAGGATATAATCAGTAAAAACATTTATTACTCAAATTTAAAAAAATATCAAAAGTCATGACTATTGTTGTCACGGTACCAAAATTTCAGTATTCGGTACCAATACCAGTAAAAATTCACGGTTCTCGGTACCAATTTCGGTACCAAAGCTTAGTTTAAATTTACATATATTTAAGTGTCTATCACGGTTACAAGTATGGAAACTGTACATTTGTATTATAAACACTTTAGAAAAAAATTAGATAAAATGACCTAAAATAAACAATAGTATGCACTAACACATTTTTAAAGTTGTTTGTAAAGTTCTAATCCGTTAACATTTATTTAATGCACAATGAATGAAGTGAACAAACATGAACAATCAAGTGTTTCTATTAAATAACATTTACAAACATTAATTAATGTTGTAAAAATATATTGTTCACTCAATGTGTTGATGTGAAGTAGAGATAAATGGTATCTTATTGTAGCATTACCAAACTATAGGCTACAGGAGAAAAAACATGTTTTATTTGATTTGACTGTACTTTTATTTAATCTAAAACTGCATTCATATTTAATTTTGAAAAGGCTTTTTAAAACTGCTGAGTTATAAAGGCAAGAATACGCCTAGATCTGGCACTGACATTAAATGACATAAATAGGGATGCGTCGATACTAATACCAACGCGGGCTCCAATACCAGTACTCTGGTGTTGGTTGGATACTACTGTGCTCATGTATTAGTAAAACTACCCCGAAACCACTTTAGAGGCCGTTCACATATCACGCGTGTTTTTTTTATTATATTTTTGTGCGTGCTTATTCTTTCCAAAGCGCTTGCTCTCACGCGGCGTCTGTCGTTGCTATGCAACGAGTTTTTATTATGAGCGCGCTTGCCTCGCGCCTATATTTGATATTGCGAATTTGCATGTAATCGGCCTCTTATATTTCTCTTATATAAAATATTTCCATATGTGGCTCTTTCCTCCTTTCGTGTCAACAAGTGGAAGAGAGAGAGACATATCAGCGTTATGAAGAGGACGCAACTGTGCACCTTTCAGACAGCGCGTCTAGAACTGGATTAACCTGGTACTCGGTATCTAGAAAAGCTGGTACCGTAACATTTTTTTTTTTTTAGTACCGACTTGGTACCGAAGTACCGAGTTTTTTGACAACACTAGTCATGACATGCATGTATGATGTACATACGATCATACGGCTGTTGTGTGTGTGCTATACACCACTGTTCAGAAGTGTGGCGTCAGGACGATTCTTTTCAAAGACATTAACACTTTTATTCAGCAACGACCCATTAAAAGTACACGTAAAAAGACAATGTTACAAAATATTTCTATTTAAAATGCTATTATTTCTGTTCATCAAAGAATCCTAAAAAGTATGTACTACGGTTTCCACAGAAATACGAAGCAGCATGACACACACGACCACCATTTCACCTGAATACGACACCTCACACACCTCGTGTGTCTTTCACTCACTTTGTGTATTTACATTCACGCACACACACACACTGAGCTTTGTTTCCTGTTGCAGGATGTGTCATCTCTGAGCTCTATTTACCCAACAGGAGTGTGTATGTGTATGTATGTGTGTTAATAAGGCCAGGTAGCTCTCTGAGTCAGCCATTTCTCCCCTAAAGCGTATATCACAACATAGATAAATCGAAAGGAAGATGAGATTATAAGAATCGCTACGTCAGAGAAACATCTCAAACACACACCATCTCCCCGTCTGAGTGTGTGTGCCCCTCAACATGAGTGTGCGCTACACCGGTTCCTCTACAGAGAGAGCTACGGGCGCTCCATCACACTGACATGTAACACACCTGTCTTCCCTGTTGCGATCCACTGCGTAGAACTGCTTTCTCAGCCACCTGTATAAAAGAGGGAAACTATTAATACAACACTGTTTTTTTTTTTTTTTTCACTTTTTGAAATTCACAGTTATTTATAGTTTTAAGTCATGTGACTGTCACAGAGACCTGGAGGGAAAGCAGTACAGGCCTGTCGATTTTCATTTCATAGGGAAAATGTCACAATTCAAGTATTAAAATCACTAAAAACTGCGGGACTTTATAAAACGCTTAAGAAACACTTATGCTGCCTTAATCTACCGAAACACCTCAATTCAGTGTACACCAAGATTCTAGATTAACTGAAACGCGGGATATTTTCATTCTAAATAAAAATTGCGATTTTCCAACTAAACAAAATAACCTTTACTAGAGGTTGTGACAAAATGTGAATCGCTTGCAGTCTATTTAAAAAATATTTAATTCGTTATAAGTTTACAATTATGTTTTTTTTTATTATGAATGAATGATTCAATGACTAGCTCAAAGACTTGTTTAGAAAAATAAATGAATCAGTGTTTTTGAATGAATCTCTTGAACGAATGATTCTATGACTCGCTCACTGACTTCCTTGCTTCATTACTGGATGAATCAGTTTTTGAATGAATCTCTTGAACGAATGATTCAATGGCTCACTCAATGGCTTCACTTGTTTCATTTCCGAATGAATCAGTGTTTTTGAATGAATCTCTTGACCAAATGATTCAGACTCCCTCAAAGACTTCACTTGTTTTGCTACTGGAGGAATCAGTATTTTTGAATGAATCTCTTGAACGAATGTTTCAATGACTCACTCAATGACTTTGAATGAATCTCTTGAACAAATGTTTCAATGACTCGCTCAAAGACTTCACTTGCTTCATTACTGGATGAATTTGTTTTTGAATGAATCTCTTGAACGAATGATTCAATGACTCGCTCAATGACTTCACTTGTTTCGTTACTGGATGAATCAGTGTTTTTGAATGAATCTCTTGAATAAATGATTCAATGACTTGCTCAATGACTTCACTTGCTGTGTTACTGGAAGAATCAGTGTTTTTGAATGAATCTCTTGAACGAATGATTCAATGACTCCCTCAAAGACTTCACTTGCTTAATTACTGGATGAATCAGTGTTTTTGAATGAATCCCTTGAACGAATGATTCAATGACTCGTTCAATGACTTCACTTGTTTCGTTACTGGATGAATCAGTATTTTCGAATGAATCTCTTGAAAAAATGATTCAATGACTCGCTCAATGACTTAACTTGTTTCATTGCTGAATGAATCAGTGTTTTTGAATAAATCTCTTGAACAAATGATTCAATGACTCACTCAAAAGCTGTGTCCCAATGTGAAGGCTGCATCCTCCGAAGTCCGTATTTGAAGGACGGTTGGCCGTATTTGAAGACCGATTGCGTCACAGCCGCTCGACGAAGTACGTCCCAATTCAAAGGCTGCATCCGCGAAGGCCGCATTTAAAGGCCGATTGCGTCATCGCGGTGGGATGAAGGCTGTCCCAATTCAGTTATGCATCCTCCGAAGGCCGTATTCGAAGGCCGGTTGCGTCATTGCAGCGCGACGAAGGCTTACCTAATTCAAAAGCGACGCCAAATGCACCCTTCATTTCCCCGTGAAAGGAACGATACATAAATGGACACTTCGCGGACTATCCTACCCGATCCTACCCCATAAATCATTGCGCGGGTGACGACAGCATTTTTATTTAAAAAAAGGGTGGCCGAGAGTTCAGTGGTGGACGGCAAATTCACATTTAAATGTAAAAGTATTATGTTTTTATTTACTCAAATAGCCAGAGAAACCAGTGTTAAGAGCCAAAAGTTTTTTTTTTTGTTTTTCTTCTTATTATTCATCTTAACTCATTCGTCAGCATTGCATGGTTTTGTCAAGTGGAAATGCGAAAACGGCTTTTATAGCCTTGTATTGCATTTCTTGTACATTGTATTTCTTTATTATTCATTATTTCATTATTTTATGCAACTTTAAATGTGTAGCTACACAAAAGAGAATTCATGGCTCTGGATATTTGTTTATTTTTGTAAGGGTCTCTGAGTGTTTGCAAGGTTGATACATTTAAACTATAATATACTTTTGTTTTGTGTCGTTTAATGTAAAATGTGTAGTGTTGTGGTCCTGTGAGGGAAAAGGGTAGGCTACTTCACATTTGTACATGAATACTATCGCAGTATGAAGTTCCTTACATTCTCCCACTGGTTATTTTAAAAATTAAAGTAACAAATTGTTGGTCCATTGTCACAATATTAACAAATTGTTGCTAACTTCAACTTCGTCCCATATCAAAGTGCGCACCTGAAGCGCTCGGACCGGTCTAGCCTGCGGAGGATTGTTCTTGTCGCCTAGCAACTGTGACTGACAGCTGACGACGACGAGCGGGAGTAACGACGTTTGCACTGGACTTTTTATATTTGGTTTAAAATATTCAAATAGGATTGACAGTCTGTATAAATATATTCACCATGGTCCATTTAGACAATAAAAAGAAAACCCTACAAAATCCTATCAAGGTACGATTAACATTTGAATAGGCTATTGGCTATATATGTGCCTATGTTTTATCATTATTATTTTTTAGGCTATTTCATTACAATATTTACGTAGGTTAACACCCAATATTTGAACAGTTTACAGTGTAATCTGGCTATTCAGGACGCAGCCTCTAGCATTAAACCAGCTCTGGCCAACTCTTGAGCCGAAAATATATGACTCGAAATATTTTTTTAGTGGTTATGTGAATTGAAATTATGTGATTTTATATATATTGCCCCTCATTTAAAGACAGGAAAATATAAAACATAAAATTTCCAGTAAAATATAAAACAACAAAATGACAATAGCCTGTCTCCATAGCTGTTTACTCAGTTTCATTAAATGAATGATCAGGGTGGCAGCTGTACTCTCGCTCCGTTGCTTGGCGCCAGGAGCAGTAATAGGGAACACCTGGTTGCGCAATTAGGAAATCCCACGAAGGTTACATGAAGCGTCCTTCGAAGGCCAAATAGGCTGCATCCTTCGAAGTCTACAGCCTTCGAAGTACGCAGCCTTCACATTGGGACACAGCTAATGACTTCACTTGCTTCATTACTGGATGAATCAGTGTTTTTGAATGAATCTCTTGAACGAATGATTCAATGACTCCCTCAAAGACTTCACTTGCTTCATTACTGGATGAATCAGTGTTTTTGAATGAATCTCTTGAATAAATGATTTAATGACTTGCTCAATGACTTCACTTGCTGTGTTACTGGATGAATCAGTGTTTTTGAATGAATCTCTTGAACAAATGATTCAATGACTCGCTCAATGGCTTCACTTGTTTAGTAAATGGATGAATTAGGCTGCATCTGAAATCGCATCGTTCCCTGCTATATATTAAGTGGAAAACAGTATGCGTCAAAAGTAGTATGTCTGAATTTACAGAACTCATAAAAAAGGCAAAAAGTCCTCGCATGACCTTTTATCCCAGTTCTTATGTGATCAGCAAGACTTTATTCAACAGTCCTGTTCCCCATGTACATACTATATACAATAACTGGGTACTAACCCTGAATCTAACCCTAACCCATATGGTTACCTTATATTACCCAGTACTTTCTTGGGCAAGTACACTAAGTGGTTTAGTCTTCCAGGTTAGTGTTCCCAAAAGGGTGTGACGTCACTCTTTAGACTTGACATGTGAACCCAGAGCTTAATGGTTAACACCAGTCAATATCTACTGGGAGAGGGGCACGTGGAGGTCAAAGGTCACCTTTCTATCTGCAGGGGTGTGGGGGAGCGTAACGTATCCGACACCAGCCAGTTCAAACCCTTCACCCACATGACCATCTCCTCGTCTGAGGTCGCTGCGGGACACAGGCAGAGGAACACAAGCATGAGTGTGTGTGTGTGTGTGTAATACGCTTTCATTGCTCACTGCCAGTGGGTTTCTCTGGACGCTCACCTGCCAGACTGAGCGCTTTGAGCCGAAACTCCGTCCCGTAGAGGATGACGAAGCAGTGGGCCTGGTCGGTCCGCGCAGACGAGTCCTCCACATACCGCTCGAAGTCCCGGGACTTCTGCCCCGTACGGATCTCCTTAATCTCCCGAATATCAACTGAAGGGGACACAAGAGACACACTTCAGTCAATCATACATGTCTGATGTCTTTTACACATCCACCACAAGGGTTAAGGTGCTCGGAAACATGAGAGATGTCATCACCAATGTTTTAAATTTGTATCAACTTATCTTCGACTAGGGGTGTGAATCTTTGGCTTGAGGTTTACTACATACACTACCGTTTAACATGTTGGTGTGTGAAAGATATTTTTGATCTGTTTCTCACCAAAGCTACATTTATTTGATCAAAACTGAGGTAAAAATTACAGTAATGTAGTGAAACATTTAAAATAACTGTTTTCTATGTGAATAAATGTTCAAATGTGAGACTTTTGTAGCATTATAAATGTCTGCTTTGGATCAATTTAATGCCTTGCTGAATAAAACCATTTATTTCTTTCACACACACACGACACTTTTTAACAGTAGTGCTGTTCAGTAATTTCATCAACAATTTAACCACAGTTAGATTCAGTATTTCTGTATTGGAAAAGGATATTTAATCCCTAATGCATTAATGCAAACAAAGAAAAGTTATTTCAGGCCACTTACTGCAAAAACAAAAAAAGGAACCACATTACATACATAAATACACGCGCTATTGGAAACACGACACACAGCCCAATGCTAACAGTGTGAGGACACATGACATGCGTGTTACACGAGCACCACAGCTTAAAGGGTACATATCATGCTTTTAAATCATTCATTTTTACATTTAAATCATACTGTTGTGGTCTATATAAAACATAACTGCAATGCTTGGGTCTGAATTTCTCATTATTATAGCTCCACAAGCCCCTGTTCTACCCCTTTTCTGATGTGCGTCTTTGAGCGACCCGTTTCAAAGCGGCCCCTTTAAATAAAAAGGAGATGCGTCATACCCCGCCCGCTCTCCAGGTCGATGAGTTCACCGTCAGTTCGACTCCCCGCGTTCGGCCATTATTGTAGTTTGATTAGAGATATACGATTATATACGATGCCTTCAAAGAACATTTTTATTCACACGTTAATAAAATGTCAACAATAGAAGACTTAAGAAAATCAAGCCTTACATATTCCAGCCAGAGCGAGCGAGTTGATAAAGACGACAACGAACCTGCAGAACAACATCTTCATATGGATGTATTGGTATGGGAGTTAACTTAACTGTTTTGTGTTATTAGTGAAAGTCGACTATTTCTCTTGTTAAAACAAGCACACTGACAAGATAAATGACTACGGTCTAATCTTACGACAAAAAAATCTGTATTGACAATATGATACGTTTAGAAAAGCATCAGAAAACAACGCAGCTAAATGACCATTGATGAAACTCAAGAACAATAATACTGCAGACGTGTAACGTTACTTCAAAACAAAAACAAAGAAAGACAAAGGTACTGCTAAACCATGACCACCATGTGTTTTAAGAAAGTAAAGTACTTTATTTTTATTAACGATATTTACAGCTTATCGAAATGCTCTGTTCGTCGTCTCCAAAGATAGAAGGAATTGACCTCTGATTCAGACGAAGTCAATCGGCAAACCCTTCTTTATACTGGCGGAGGTTGTTGAAGTGGAAATCCTTGAAGTGCTTCAGGTCACTACATCCAACAACAGAACATTTTGACTTGCCCTCTCGTAACTTCTGCATCATTGAGCTCGAACTACAAAATCGGAGCGAGAAATAATAATGGCGGATTGCTCGAAGTGTTGGACCGGTAGTCAATGTCCTTATTTGTCAGTTCAGCTGCAAATACGGTGACGTTATAGTTCAAAAAACGTCATAGAAAACAGAAAAATATGAACAGGTTGAAAAATACGACCAAAACAGAATATAAAGATATAAACGAAGCACCTGAAGAGAATAATTTCATCTTTTTTGTACTTATAAACACTCCAAATATACAACAAAATGCATTTAAGGGCTAAAAAAGTGGATTTTGCATGATGTCCGCTTTAACATGAGACGATGATGGCGTGAGGTGCGATGAAGGAGGGTTCTGAAACGCTTTCTCAAGAAAATCTATTAATGTTTATGACATGTCTGCCTATACCTGATATAAACAGTGATAAATGACAAATACAAGATTATACTTATTTCAAAATGGTCATCCACACACACAGTAGCGTGTACACTGCTAGCCCAGAACTGAATATACAAAATATCCAGAATTAATGTGAAAAAACAGATTGTAATCCAATTTAACCATGAAAAAAATAAATAATAAAAACAAAATATATATATATATAAATATAGCTGCAAGCAGAGATTACGGGCCCAAGCCTAGTGGCGCTGCCATCCTGGTGGCTTATTAGGGTTATTGTGCATAACGTGCATAAAACACAAGCCCGCTCTGACTGTCGAAAAGAAGTGTGCTGTAGAGCTTGCATTGGTGTGGGCTCTGCAAAAGTGCGCATTGAGGGCACATATCAACCACAAAGTATGCATGAGAAACCTTCTGAAACCTAAAATGAAAAATGAGACACCCTACAGACGGTCTCATGGATTGAACAGACACATGAAATAAGTACACAAGACTGAAAATTCATATGAAGTGTGCCATTTGGGACAGTGCCAATGATCGTGAACCACAATAGGCATTTATATGAATTTTGCCCGGCCATCGTTTCCCATGTGTGTTTTCTGTATTTGATTGGTGACTACTTTCTGAATGAAATGATTTTTGAAATGATTCTGAAAGGTAAACAGATATATTGATCTGAAATATAGCACATACATTTTTAAATCATTTAGGTTCAATTACCAAACAAAACATACAATTTAAAGCAAACAATACATTTAAAAGATATGGGTTATAAAATAATAATAATAATGTAGGGATGCAGATGGTTTCATATAGTTTCTGACGCGTGCCTTTGTCTTGAATAAAATAAATATTGTCCACAAGTCCATAAGCCAAATCCATTTATTGTCCATTTGGCATTGCGAACAAAAAATAAAACAAAAATAAATACTAAACCAAAACATCCGATTCAAAACATACTGTTAGGCATGAGCACAGTCTCGCACAATCCAACTCTCAACATAGCACAGTCGAAAAGTGTGTTGACATCAGCACACCTGTAACTCATCATTATCACCTCATTACAGGGTTAGTTCACCCAAAAATGAAAATTCTGTCAGTATTTACTCACCCTCATGTTGTTCCAACCCCGTAAGACCTTCGTTCATCTTCGGAACACAAATTAAGATATTTAAGATATTAAGATCGCTCCTGCATACAGTCCATAGGCTTCTTGAGGGACTGGCTCTTGCTGTCCCCGAAAAGTCATTAAAGACATCGTTAAAATAGTCCAAGTGACTACAGGGGCTCAATCTTAAGTTTATCAAACGACGAGAACACTTTTGTGCGCAATAAAACAACAAAAATAACGACTTTATTTCAACTATTCGTTTATTTCTCCCTCTGCGCGAGTCTGGTTACTAGTTTAATAGCGTAAGCTTCTGCTATTGTACGTCACACGCATCACACACATGACCAGCGGCGGCCAATAGTGAGCCTACTTGTGACGTAGCTTTACGCTATCACACTACGTTAACTGACTACAGGCTACATAGAGAAGGAAGTGAATAGTTGAAATAAAGTCGTTATTTTTGTTTGTTTTTGCGCACGAAAGTGTTCTCGTCATTTGATAAACTTAAGATTGAGCCCCTGTAGTCACTTGGACTATTTTAACGATGTCTTTAATGACTTTTCGAGGCCATCAAGTGTCATTCCCTCAAGAAGCCTATGGACTGTATGCAGGAGCAATCTTAATATCTTAAATATCTTAATTTGTGTTGCAAAGATGAACGAAGGTCTTACGGGGTTGAACAACATGAAGGTGAGTAAATACTGACAGAATTTTCATTTTTGGGTGAACTAACCCTTTAAATATACTCAAAATACTCATACACCCTCTAGTGTCACAAACAAAAAATGGCTCCAACATACCGGCCCCTGAACTGTTAATGATATAGGCCATAAATAATTCAGGATCATAATTAAACAAACCATTTGTCACTTTATCAAACAAACCTTTATCACATTTCTAAAAAAGACAAAGTTTTGTTACTGGTCTTACTATTGTGTTTGTTCTGGTTTGAACTTGTACAGATCTAACTAAACCCCTTTATCTGGGAAAGTCTCCAGTACTCAGAAGAGTCCAAGAATTGCGTGGAGTGAGTACAATATCACCCGGCATAAGATTGCGTCCCTCTTTTGTCCATTTTTGCCTTTCCTATAGCAAAGGCAAGTACTCTTTAATCCATCTTTTACAAAGAAGATCTGAAAGGTATAGTACTTGTTTCCATCTCTTTTTTTCTCAAAAAGACCACCAGGGGCCTCATTTATAAACGTTGCGTATGCACAAAAGAAGGCGTACGGCGCTCTCTACGCAATAATTGGTATTTAAATGTGCGGTCCTTCGCGCAAGCTCTGACCCCGGCGTACGCACAAAAACGGGTGAAATGAGAAGTGGCGACTCCGTCGGCAGATGGAAAAAACATGTGAAAGTGTGTGAAACTGTAAAAGAAATGGCAATACTGGCTCTCATAAATAACATGAAGACTTCACAAAGCAAGTCTTACAATTAACAGCCTATACAAACACCCGTTTTATCGATCTGCAGAGTTAAACAAACAAAATCAAACGATGCCATGATGCCTTCCCAAAGCGTAATGACGTAATGCGTAATGCAACCTTTTGCCACTCAAGTGGCTTTTTTGACATTAAAGCCCACACTGGGCCCTCCAAACATTTTACTCCTTTTTTCCACCTCGCCAATGATAATTTATATTTTACATTAAGTGAAGTTACGTTTCTTGATTTTCCTCTCTGTGTTTGCCATGATTTTGCAATCGATGAATATTAAAGGGATACTCCACTTTTTTGGGGAAATAGGCTCATTTTACCACTCCCTCAGAGTTAAACAGTTGAGTTTCACCGTTTTCGAATCCATTCAGCCGATTTTCTGATATTTAGGCCGTGTGTCCACCAGGGCCGTGCA